AGTGTTGACTCGTTGTATTTTAATAGGTTGAGAAATTATAGATAAACATATACTATAAAATTATATTTTTAATATACTATAAGCACATTATTTGTGTATTGAATGTACATTATTTGATACTAGGGAAAATGACACTTTTTTTCCCTGAGTTATATACTTATAACACTTGTTCCCCATGAACTATTCCCCCATGAATTATTCAAGTAATCACATTAGCCCCCTCAATTAATAAACTCTAAATATCGAATTTTGATTCTAAATTGTAATCGGAATATTTCGGTTTGATTGCTATAGTGTGTGTTCGTTTGAACCAAATCGTTGTCATAATTTGTTGGAGAAGAAAAAATAAATGAAATATTTATTTTAAGGGTTTATTTCTATTTAACATATCAGAGGGAAAAACTACCACTTGAATAATTCAGGGAAAAAAAGTACTATAAGTATATAATTCAAGAAAAAAAAAGTGTCATTTTCCCTGTGATAGTATACAAAACGATGTACTTTCAGTAATTAAATAATGTACTTAATGTACACAAATAATGTATTTTTTATTTATGAGGCACACAATAATGATTGATATATCATTACAGTTTACACCAAAAATATGTTAGAGTGTGTTTGGAAACTTGGAAAATGAGTTCTGGAAATCATTTTTCAAGTTTTCACTGTTCGGATGTGCCTGGAAAATCAAGTCAACGGAAATCATTTTCCGTTGACTTTGGAAAATAGGCTTGTTTTGGAGGAAAATGACTTCCCCTTTTTTTTGGGGGAAGTCATTTTCCAACTTTTACACCAAAATCACACCACCACCAACATCATCAACACCATACCACCACCACCTCACTACTACCATCACCACCACTACTGCCGCCGTTGCCACCACTATACCACCGCAACCACCGCCACCACACCACCACCATCACACCACCACCAACACCATACCACCGCAACCACTACCACCACCAACATCATCAACACCATACTACCACCACCACCACCATACCACCACAACCATCGTCGCCGCCACCGCCACCACCATACCACCGCCACCACACCACCAACATCACACCACCACCGCCGCCACCGCCACCACCACCGCCGTCGCCACCACCACCATACCACCGCAACCACCGTCGCCGCCACCACCACCACCACCATACCACCGCTGCCGCCACCACCACCATACCACCGCAACCACCACCAGCATCACACCACCGCCGCCGCCACCACGACGATCATACCACCTCCGCCGCCACCACCACCATACCATCGCAACCACCATCGCCGTCACCACCACCATTACCATACCACTGCAACCACCGCCACCACACCACCACCACCACCATACCACCGCAACCATCGTCGCCGCAACCACCACCACCATACCACTACAACCACACCGCCACCACACCACCACCATCACACCACCACCACTACCACCACCGTTGCCGTTGCCACCACCACCATACCACCATCGCCGCCACCACCACCATACCACCGTCGCCGCCACCACCACCACCGCCGCCGCCGCCACCACCACCACCATACCACCACAACCACCGTCGCCGCCACCACCACTACCATACCACCGCTGTCGCCACCACCACCATACCACCGCAACCACCACCAGCATCACACCACCGCCGCCACCACCACGACCATATCACTGCCGCTACTACCACCACCATACCACCACAACCACCATCGCCGCCACCACCACCACCACCATACCACTACAACCACCGCTACCACACCACCACCACCACCACCACTGCAACCACCGTCATACCACCACCAGTTATTATTATTATTATTATTATTATTATTATTATTATTATTATTATTATTATTATTATTATTATTATTATTATTATTATATAACAAATAACACCACTACCACTACATCACAATCACCATAATATTTTTGATATATTATTAGTTTTTTTTATTATATTTAAAATTATTATTATATTATTATATATTATTATACATGTTGTAATATTCTAAATAAAATAATTAAAATGTTTAATTATACAATTCTACTCATTTTTCATAAAATGAACCAAACACACAAAAACAGTTTTTCAGAATGCAACCAAACACTGGAAAGGAAAATGTTTTCCGAAAAATGACTCATTTTCCAGAAGTCATTTTCCTGCTTTCCAAACGGACCCTTAGTTTCTTCTCACTATATACCATTTCACCATCCACCTTAAATTTTGGCAACTTTTAATTTATTGTTCTACCAGTACTATTTTGTTTATTATTTGTGATAAATTTTATAAGACTTAATACCCAAAATCGTCCTCGACTATAGTGGTTTTTCTCAATTTCGTCCTAAACGACTTTGGTGACCTAATATCGTCCCAGACTTTTGTGTTTCGCTCAATTTAGTCCTCCATTTGTTATTCCGTCAAATTGGTGTTAAATAAAGGGACAATTCAGTAATGTCAATATTGATCTCTCTTTACTTTCAACTTGTGAAGTGCGAAATTCCTTTTTCTTGTACGAATTACACCCAGAATTACTCCCGGACCTGCAAATCAAATTTTATATTCGCAGTTTTAGGAGTAATTCATAAAAAAAAAAGGAATTTCGTAGTTCACATGTCTATGAGTAAAGAGATGTCAATATTAAAATTACTGAATTGTCTATTTATTTAACACCAAATGGACAAAATAACAAATGAGGGACTAAATTGAGCAAAAACACAAAAGTCTGGGACTAAATTGAGCGAAACACAAAAGTCTAGGACGATATTAGGTCATCAAAGTCGTTTAGGACGAAATTGAGAAAAACCACTATAGTCGAGGACGATTTTGGGTATTAACTCAATTTTATAATGTAGACTATTATCAAGCCTCTCAATTATGACACTTTTAATCTTTTGACGCAGTATAAATCTAGTCCATCAATTATTCATACTGTGAATTTAGTCTTTATATTTTTAACAAAATGACAAGTTAAATCCATAAGATTTTAAATTAAACCCTAATATTAACAATCAAATTAAATTTACCAATTTCCAAAGAGCCTATGAATTATATCTAACTGTGAATAACTAAGAGATTAAAATCTGTATTACAATCAAAATTAAATAGCTAAAAATGTCATTTCTTGAATAGACTAAAGTGACACTCCGCACCATGAACCATTCCTAATTATTTATGCCGCACCATGATTTTCAATAAGTGATATTTTGAGCCATAAACCAATTGTCCGAATTCGACAATTGAAAATCGACGACTTCATTTTTTGCTCTGAACTCAGTGTTGGACGACTGCACATTACTTTAGCAATTTGACTGCTTAAATTTGTCAAATTCTCCAAAAATTGATACATTCATCATTTATCAAACATCTTCTAAAAAAAATAAATTTAAAAGGTATATAACCGTAGTTGGCATCTTTACTTTGATTAGTATTGTAACTGAAATAGTTATACTACAAATCTATGTAGCAAAAAGAAGAGAAAATAATGCCTCTTATGAGTTGTAGCAACATCTGCTCATAAAAGGAGAGGCATATATGTAGCTTACAATTGGACGCTTTTTCCTTCACGTGCTAGGGACGAGTGGACGGCTGACATTTCGTTTTCAAATCTTAAAACGTGCGTGTTTTGAATTAGTGGGTGCATTGGCAGATTTTGATTTTGATTTGGAATCTGTGGTAATAAATGATTGAAAGATGATTGATGGAGCAGTTGTTATATTGTAAACCGCGGTGTATGTGCACCGCGATTAAAAACAGCGTCATTTCTTTAAGTAAAGAAATGGTCCGTTATTACTGTTAATGAAGTCTGTATGTTTAGTGTATTAAACACCAACTGACACTACAGTACATCTAAATTGACACTGCCTTACGTATTATTTTTATATTATCAAATCGAACTGCAGTTATATCAAAATGACGTAGTTGTGGTGAAATGAAACTGCAGTGTATATAAAATGAAACTGAATAACATTTCACATATTTGAGTATATATTGTACAATGACAATTAAGTTGTAATTAGAGTTAATACCCAAAATGGTCCCTCGACTATGCCATAATTACCAATTTGGTCTTCAACTACCATTCTTACCCAATTAAGTCCTCAACTATGTAACTTTTACTCAATTAAGTCCTCAACTATACAATTCTTACCCAATTTAGTCCTCAACTATATAATTCTTACCCAATTTAGTCCTCTGTATTAATTTGACTATTTGTTGACTGTCAAAAGTCGGGATAAAATTATAATTTTAAAAGATTTCTCCTTCCTCTCCATTTAGCAGCGCCAAACCATGCAGCAATACACTCCGATCAGATTTCGATCGTCAAAAAATTGTTGAAAATCAAATTCATGGGCTATCCGATGCATAACCACTACTTCGATACTGACAGGTTTAGAACCCAACCGGAGCTTATTGCTACATGGTTTGGCGCTGCTAAATGAGGAGGAAGGAGAAAACTTGTAAAATTACAACTTTATTTCCACTTTTGACAGTCAACAAACAGTCAAATTGACAAAGGACTAAATTGGGTAAAAATTGTATAGTTGAGGACTTAATTGGGTAAGAATAATAGTCGAGGACCAAATTGATAATTAAGACATAGTCGAGGGACTATTTTGGGTATTAACTCTTGTAATTATATCAAAATGATCATGTAGTTGTATTTTAATAAAATTATAGTGTATATAAAATAAAATTGAATAACATTTTCAAATATTTGAGCCTATAAATATCGAATGAAACTGTGGTTATATCGAAATGAAATTGTAGTTGTGTTGAACTGAAACTGCAGTGTATACAAAATGAAACTGAAGAACAGAATTATTTTTTGCAGAACGGCGCAAAACTGATTATGTTTTTTTTTCATTAAATAAAACGACGTCGTTTTGATACGCGATGCATAATCAATTATGCACAGCGGTGCACGATATAATTTGCCTATAAAGCATGTCCAATAGGCCAAGCCCAATTTGAAATACTGGGCAATACACCCAATAGCCCAAAATAATGTATTTTAGCCCATTACTCAGTTTTCTCAAATCTGGCTTCTCGACTCTCGGCACTCCGCCCTCGTTAGTCGTCTCTCGTCTCTCACCGCCTGCTCAGCGACTCACCTGCTGCAACCCGACTCAAGGTAAATTTTTACATATTAAAATTAAAGGAATTTCATACATTATATGCTGCTGCGAATATATGGATTTCATTTTCATACAAAATCGTCCCTCACGGTTTCGGCTTTAATTGTTTGAAAATTAATTCTATTTAATTTTTGTATAATTTATGCTTGACTTCTGAAAATTTATTTGCAATTCAATTTATGTTTGATTATGCAATCCTAGTGAAAATAAATGTGGAAGTGATTTTTTGCACACTGCCAGTTTTTTTTTTTTTTTGTCTGTTTTTAGTTTTTTACATTGCAAATTGATTACAGAATATCATGTTTCTTCCTAAACCATTAATGCAGTAATGGCTCGTTTGAGTGTAAGTAAAATTGCCGAGAGAAGAAAAAGGATTGTGGTTGCTTTGTCTGTTTTCTTAGAGATGTATACTGCTGTTAGTGCTCTAGTGCTTTTAATGGCATCAGCAGCATCTCTCAATAGTTTAGGAGACAATGATTTCTCCTTTACCCCGGCTCAAACATCATCTGCTAGAGGGGTGAGTTCAACAAAGAGGAAGAGGCGAAGCATTGACACATGTGAACCTATTACTGCAGATTCTTTGCTTCGTGCTGCCATTATGTTGAGTTAGAAGTTAGAATCGGTGGGAGAGAAAATAAGTAGAAGTCTTGGGGCCGAATTGAATCTTCAAGAAAAGATTGAGCAATTGGATAGTAAATTGAGTGAGATTGAGGGACTGTCATATGATGACAAGTTTATGACTTTGATCAAGCTTCCTGAATATCCAAATCAAGTGCTTGTGTTTTTCAGCCTTGCACCGGACCGAAGGCCTGAATGGGTGAAAAGGTTTCTTGCTATCCATTGAACATATTTGTGTGAGTAGCATAAAGTACTTTGTTGTTTTTGCTATGAGTTAATACTCGGAGGATCATTGGAGGTATTAACCCTTTTTGCTATCAAGCTAAAAAGTACGTTGTTGTAAGTATGAAGTTGGTTGTTGTTTTTGCGGGAAAAGCATGAAGTTGGTTATTGTAAAAATATGATGTTAGCTTGTTTTTTGAGAACTAAAAGGGATGAATTGTTTGAACTTATAATTATGTATATTTTGTAACACCATGTGATGGTTTTTGGGTTTTCGGGCCCAAGGAGGTCCAACACAACCTTAAGCTGGAGGATACACCTTTCGATAAAACGTATGCTAAAATAATATGGACTCGATGATTTTGACGTGGAAACCGAAAGGAAAACCACGGGCCTTTTTGGGCGGTGCCAAGCCAACTCCATTATGTATTTTGTAGGTGTATTTGTACATACTTGTAGGGCTATTCTTTACACAAAGTGTTGTGTTTCTCATAATGTAGCAAGAATAATAGAAAGAAGAGTGATGGAATGGTGTGGAAGAGTCCTCCCATGTGTATAGATGAGTGGTGTAGCCTTCTCGGTATATTGTGGAATGAGGCCCTCTTGGCCGAGTAGTTGTGGGAGAGTGCTTGTAGTCTTCAAGTGTGTAGCAAGAGTGCTTGGGAGAGTCCTCCCATGTGTGAATGAGTGAGTGAATGAGTCCCCTTTCTTCTTGTCTTCCCCTCCTTTTATAGCTAGCCCATCCCAAAAGTGTCCGTTGGACCATTTAGTAGGGTAGTTAATAGGATATTTACTTTGGGGGGTTATAGGTATTAAGTTGGGTAGTGATGGGATAGTAATGAGGTAGGTAAATAGGGTAGTAAATGGGCTAACGGCTAGTTTAGGCCGACTTCCTACCCGCGCCGACTCCACACTCGCCGCCGACTCCTCGGTTTGACTCGTATCTCTTTTGGGTTTGCTCCATTTTCTTCTTGGGCTTCTCTTCTTCGTATGGGCTTTATCTACTTTCTTTATGGGCCCCGAGCCCACGGGGTTCACACCCCATCAACTAGTCCCTCACTTTTCTATGTCTCGTGCTTAGCAGGGCATGGAAAAGTATATTGTCTTGCCTCAAAATTTCCTTTATTAGCTCCCTCGATTTTTGCCGACTCTTTATTCAACATTCTACACGACTCCATCCTCATGACTTCTCTTTGTTTGCCGTATGACCGACTGCTTCAGTGGATGTGACCCTCCGGCTTCGAGCCCCTTCTATCTTTAGCCGTCGAAGTGAATCTTCGACTGTAACTTTTCCTTTCTCTAATAAACTTTTTAAGGGTTCGGACTCCTGATTCCTTCTTTATTCGCCGAGTCCCTCAGTCGAGGCGACTCTTCGGTGGTAGCTTCTTTTTCTTCTAAGAAATGTCTAAGGGACAGTGCCCCAACTTCTTTTCCCTTTTCTCTAGGAACGTCTAAGGGTCGGAACCTTTGTTTCTTTTCTCTTTTCTCTAGAAACGTCTAAGGGTCGGAACCCTTGTTTCTTTTCTCTTTTCTCTAGAAACGTCTAAGGGTCGGAACCTTTGTTTCTTTTCTCTTCTTGCCGAGTCCCTCCGTCGAGGCGACTCCTTGGGCTTTTTCCTTTTCTCAGAAACGGTTCAGGGTCAGTGCCCCGGCGCTTCTATATATACTTGCCGAGTCGCTTACTCGAGGCGACTCCTCTTTGAATTTTTCACGGAAACGTCTAAGGGTCTGGGCCCTTGTTTCCTATCTTTCTCTCGCCGAGTCCCTCAGTCGAGGCGACTCTTTAGGCTTTTTTCTGTTCTCAGAAACGGTTCAGGGTCAGTGCCCCGGCGCTTCTATATATACTTGCCGAGTCCCTGCTCGAGGTGACTCCTTTTGGCTTTTTCACGGAAACGTCTAAGGGTCTGGGCCCTTGTTTCCTAACTTTCTCTCGCCGAGTCCCTCAGTCGAGGCGACCCTTTAGGCTTTTTCTGTTCTCAGAAACGGTTCAGGGTCAGTGCCCCGGCGTTTCTATATATACTTGCCGAGTCGCTTACTCGAGGCGACTCCTCTTTGGCTTTTTCACGGAAACGTCTAAGGGTCTGGGCCCTTGTTTCCTATCTTTCTCTCGCCGAGTCCCTCAGTCGAGGCGACTCTTTAGGCTTTTTCTGTTCTCAGAAACGGTTCAGGGTCAGTGCCCCGGCGCTTCTATATATACTTGCCGAGTCGCTTACTCGAGGCGACTCCTCTTTGGCTTTTTCACGGAAACGTCTAAGGGTCTGGGCCCTTGTTTCCTATCTTTCTCTCGCCGAGTCCCTCAGTCGAGGCGACTCTTTAGGCTTTTTCTGTTCTCAGAAACGGTTCAGGGTCAGTGCCCCGGCGCTTCTATATATACTTGCCGAGTCGCTTACTCGAGGCGACTCCTCTTTGGCTTTTTCACGGAAACGTCTAAGGGTCTGGGCCCTTGTTTCCTATCTTTCTCTCGCCGAGTCCCTCAGTCGAGGCGACTCTTTAGGCTTTTTCTGTTCTCAGAAACGGTTCAGGGTCAGTGCCCCGGCGCTTCTATATATACTTGCCGAGTCCCTGCTCGAGGTGACTCCTCTTTGGCTTTTTCACGGAAACGTCTAAGGGTCTGGGCCCTTGTTTCCTATCTTTCTCTCGCCGAGTCCTTGCTCAAGGCGACTCTTGTCTATGATTCTTCTTAGTAAACTTCTTGGACTCTTGGTTCTTTCTTTGCCAGCTCGAGTCTTTTAGTCGGGGTGATTCTCGGTTGTAGCTTTGCTTTTTCTTCCTTTGTATAGCCCCTTGTAGATGACGATTTCATGAGCAGTATCTTGGAATGTATATTCATTTTCTGCCACTAACTTCCCATGCCGAGTTGTGCCCATATATTGCACGCCACATATGTAATCTTTTGATTTTTGTTATTTTCACCAGCTTTGGAGAGATCGTCGGTACTTTTTGTGTGTCACTTTAGGAGTCGACCTTGAAGCGCCTTAGCATTTCCCACCGAGCTGAGAAAAAATATGAATGTTAGGGTGAGAGGAGTCGAACCCTGGCCTCCTTATTTTCCTCCATGGCATTTACCAATCTTACGCAATTGACTTTTTAAATCTCCACAGCATTGAATCTAACGTATGCCCGGATTGCGCATAGCCCTGCGTAAGTTGTCTGATGTGTTGTGATTCGGGCTTTTGTTCATAAAATAGCTCCAGTTTTGAGATTGTCATCATCGGTGTCATGCGCACCCATTCACGCGTTGCCTTGGACCGTGGGAGCAAGACTCGACCACACGATCCACGCGTTGCCTTCGACTGTGGGAGCAAGACTCGACCACAGGATCCACGCGTTGCCTTCGACTGTGGGAGCAAGACTCGACCACAGGATCCACGCGTTGCCTTCGACTGTGCGAGCAAGACTCGACCACAGGATCCACGCGTTGCCTTCGACTGTGGGAGCAAGACTCGACCACAGGATCCACGCGTTGCCTTCGACTGTGCGAGCAAGACTCGACCACAGGATCAGCCACCGCACCGGCCTCGGGGAGACGTTTCATCCCTCACGAGTACTTGCCAGCATTGACACTCGCGGGAGATAGTCGGAGAACTCAGTCGTAGCCGACTGCATGCCCGGTGTGACGGGACACGTGCCTTCCATTGCGAAACAAGCTGTACGACTAAGGGTGTCAATAATCACGGTCAACTTTTCTGCTCGCTTTTGAATGTTTTCAGATGTACAAGCTACTCTTCAGCTCTTTTATCCAAACTTGGCACGTTATAGTGTGCTCACTGCTTCAATACCAACTGATAGCATGGTGGCCTAGAAGCTTATATCCTGGTAAATAAAGCCTCCCTGTCACTTTCAATTAACTCCCACTGACTTCGACGGTTATACTGATATAACCCCCATGCTCATAGAATTTTCTTTTTCGTTATGCAGATGCGATATGTACGTTCCCCCTGCATGTCTGATCAATACCATCTTTTGAAGGAAACAACATGCCTGCGGTCATCTCCTCCGTAGTCCGAGTGCTACGCAACCAACTCCCAAGCCTTAGCCGAGTGCTTTCCTTGCTGACTCTAAATGAAATCAAGGCCGACTCCACAAATTTCAACTCGGCAACATGCCGCAGGATGGCCGAGTCCTTGACTACAGAGTCCGTAAGTCTGTCTTCCCAATGGACTGCCGACCCCGGCCTTTAAATTGATTATATGTAGTTTTATTAGACATAAGACAGCTTCGTGGTGCATCAGCCTCGTAATCTTATTAGATTTTGAATCTCGCGATCCAGAATCAATTGGCGAAGGCTCTCGGACTGAATGGCATGGTAATTGCGCCGGTTGCTGAATGGTAGTGGTGTTTCATGTCTCTGTTTTACACTTGGAAAGCTTTGTGGTGAGATGATGGTCTTGTGGCCGGTTCTATGACCGATGGTCGATTCCGGAAAGACCCCAAAAATTTGGAGTTTGCTCCCGACACCATTTAGTGTCAACGACGCATGAACTTGGAAGAAGAGATCACCATGATGCGAGAGTGAGGCGTTGGTGCAGGGGAAGGGCCGAGTGATCGGAGTCGCCCTCATTCTCTTTGTCCGAGTCCGAATCGCTTGAAGGAGTCGGCGACTTTGGAATGGAATCAGTTAGCGAATCGGAGGACTCAACGGATTTTGCATGTTTGTCCCTACGTCGTGAGCTGGCAGACTCAGGAAACTCGGCGGAACAATCAGGAGCTTTTAATAATGCGCCGTCGGCTTGCTGTTTCTCTCACTCTTCTCCGATGGTGGCTTGTAGTCCCTCAGTCCTCACACTCTGCTGTTTTATGCGACACATTAGAGCTCACTGCCCGGATGCCGACTGGGCACCGTCGCGCCGATCACTTCTGCTAGCGCCTCTGCTTGCTTCTGACTTTCTGCATGCTTAATCAGTTACTCATCTCACTCGCCTGGTTACGTGAGGAACCAATTCCGCAAACAGTCTTTGATAAGCCCGCTGGTTCTGGGGTCAAATGGCGATTTGGTGGAGGCTGTCGTCGACTAAAGGAGTCGGTATGGTGAGTATTGGCGTAGAATAAGTAGCCGGCAATTGATCGCTGTTATTGTGAGACGTTCAGTCGCCGGTTGTCTGATCAGGTTGCTGCGCTGAGCTCATCATCGTCGGTGGCCGACTGCTTCACCGCTTCTTAATTTGTTATTTTTCTTCGAATGCCGTGACTGCTCTACTACGTACCTGCGGCTTTAATTCCCATACTTTGAGAACTTCCTTTTGCATAATCT